TCTTGACCCCGCTTTCTGTTACCAACTTATCGTTTCATCTTAGTTTTCCAGTCATGTCAGCTCAGCCAGGCAGACGATCCGATAGGATCTTATTGTCTCTGGCGTCATCGTTCTTATAGTTCATACGTTATTTTCTATCGTAAAATAAAAACCAAAAAAAAAAAACGGCGTTATTTATATGCACGCGAGCTTTATATATTAAAAATTGTACAGCTTTTTTGAATTCACCCCCATTCTAAAGAATTTCTTCTGTCTACTCGAAAAAAATGGAACTTCGGTGACACGAATTGAAGAGTAATAGACAGGTGTATTAGATACCTTTCTTCCAAGTTCACGTAATACATATTAAAACGAATAGAAATTTATAGAAACGAATGAACGAACTAGCAAATGCCACGAAAGTGTAGAATCTCCTCTATCCAGTCCCCTTTTTCCACTCCTCGGACAAATTAGAAGAGAGAGGGCCACCTGAGAGGATGATCTAAAGATTTTTCGTGACGTTCGTTTTTCGTTGGTGCCCGCCGTCCTTTGGGCCTTGCAGGAGACCTGTACGAGGACTGGTCCGCGATCTACCGTAACCGCATTCCTCCGTTGCCTCACCTTGCCCCTCTACCACCCCCTTCGCAAAGGTGCCCTCCTTACCCCTACTTACTCGGAGCTCCCAAGCGAGCCCTTCTCTCTCTCCACGCTCGTTCCGCATTTTTTCATCTCTTCTCTCTCTCTCTCTCTTTATCTTTTATTCAACTCTTATTTCGTAGTTTTATCTCCTTCCTTCTCTTCATCAAGGTCCCTTCCTTCTTAGTTTTTTTTCTATTTTTTTTTTTTTTTGGTTACGAACGCCTCGAATAAAAGAATAGAATTCTATTCGTAGTCCCAAAAACTCAACGAAAGAAAGAGAAACTTATTTTCCTTCAATTGGGCCCACGCAAACGAACGCGCGTTTTATTCGCAATTACACAAAATTGTCCTAATTAACTTTTTGTATTTTCTTTTTATTTTCACGCGATACCACCGTCATTCCAAACTGTCAAACGCGTATCTCTACTTACTTTTTGATTTTTATTTTCTTTTTGTTTTTGTTGTTTTTTTTTTTTTTTTGTAAGAAGGATGATTCCTAAGAGTGCACGACGTTACCATCCTCCCGCTTACTTCGGGCATAGTAAATGCGGGATAATCATTCAACGATTACCTGTCTTGCATTTTAACGTCCAAACAACGTCCCAGAGTAAGTCGACCAGTCACGGAAAGGTTCATCGATCTTCTCGTCAAAATAATTCCGAGAAAGTTTTTTCTTTCGCAATTACCGCAGTTTGCTTGACTTGATTGCTTTCTTTATTTCTTTCTTTTTTATTCGCACGTTTTTTGACTAACAATATTATGTAGAAAATGTGCAAATAAAGGAAAAAGAAAGTACGACAACGAGTTTTGATTATTCCGATGAAGGTTGCACGTTTGCACGATAAAACGCATTTAACGCACGAGCATGTGTGTTATTTTATGTAATACACGACAGGATTCGATCAGATCTATGTAAACCTTTAACAACTTTCAAGGCGATACGAGTTCTCTCTCGTTGAAACGAGTAGGTTGTTTCATGTTAAGAGTAACACATAGATTCTTTACCGATATTGACAAAATTAACATATCGCGTTGGTTAAACGCATGCTTTGGCTAATTGCTGTTTGACTAATAGTTATCCTATCTTTCTATCTTTATCTCTCGGTGAATTGATTTCTTTAATGTGAATATAGAATAACCAAATGCTAATTAAACTCGTTTTATCGATATCTTGCAATATTTCTTTCTAATGGAACAGTAAAATATATTTAAAAAAAAAAAAAAAGAAAAGAAAGAACAACAAATCTTTTGCACGAAACTTTTCGATGTTTTCTATTATATATTATAAAGTAGCCCAAGTCCATTTGTCCGGTTGACTGTGGTTACATAACAGATCATATGCTTCGAATTTTTAGACAATAAATCAATAAATATATCGAAATTTGGATAAAAATCCAATTGGTCGTAGACAGTGGCGCTGAGAGTTTAAGCAAGAAGGATAATTCAAGCGTGAACTACGCGGCAGCCATGAATTACTCGCTTTCTTGATATCTTGGTTTGAACGGTTCGAACAACATGAAAAAAGAGAAARAGAAAGAGAGAGAAAGAGGAGTCCAAGGAAACCGGTGGTGAGCCGGCTGTTGGACAGCTTCGTCGAGCCAGGAGCAGCAGCATCGTCGGCCTCTCTGAAGAAGGGCCCCGGTGCGAGAGGCCCTTCGGGCCACTTTGCATAGCCGAGGCTCATCGGCTATAGTGGACCTCCCACGGGTTGACCGGCTCCGAGCCATCCAAGATACCTTTTCTTCTTCTTCTTCTTCTTCTTCTTCATTTTTTTTTCTTCTTCATTTTACGTCCTATGTCCTTCTCTACCTTGTCTTTACCTCCTTTCTTTATCTTTATCTCTTTCCCGTTTGCGATTCGTCGAACACCGCCATGAAGATACTACATTTTTACTACCTACCAACTACGACCAAGGACGAAAGTGTGAATTATGAAATTGGAATCTTACCAAGGATCTCCTTCTCCTCTCGAGATCTTTCTTTTTTTATTTTATTATAATTTATCCAATTTCAATTTCTTACTTAACTAATAACGTTGACTTTTATCATATTGCCTATATTAATGAAATAATTGATTATTTTTCTATTCATAAGTTTATATAAGAATAAATGTATTGGTCAATTATGGTTGGTACGTGCGTACTCCTGCGTACTTGGAATCGGGCATTCGCATGTTTCTATTCTCATGACCGAGCAACCTGTATAGCCGGCCTTGACTCGTAACTCGCTCTCTTCTCTCGTGTCTGTAAAAAATGGCAGCGCGTCCGGTGCTCTTTTATCGAAAGAAGAAGAAGAAAGAGAGAAAGAGAGAGAGAGAGAGAGAGAGAGAAAAAGAGCAAACCATGACGCGCTTTAATGCCCGTTCAATGCGCACTTATCGCAAAGGAGAACCACCACAATGCCCTTCAAACCTATCAAAGCGAACTTACTCGCTTGAAAGTATACCTTACTGACGTTACGATGATCTCACAAATTCTACATCAAAATATCTTTACATCTTATGAAATAATAACGAAAAATATTGA